AGCCAGGCTTGACCAAGGCGAGGTCGCAAGAGCGACAAGCGCAGCACCACACTCCTTTGGATGAACAAGACCTTGGCGACTGATGCTAGCGATGATATCTGTGGCAACGACGGCAGACTCATTTTTGTTCTCCAACGCAGCTTTCACGAAATATTCTAAGAACTTCTGCGCCAGATGCAGCGTGGCATGGTCGTTTCCAGTAGCCGTAAAAGACGTTTCCAAGCGCGCGGAGCCATTAGCAGCTCCTTTGCCGGTTGCAATTTGCGCACCAGTTTCCGAGCGCCGCTCAGCGACAGTGAAGAATTGCCTGAAGAATAACAGTGCGATGTGCTTCAGGGTGTCGTTTCCTTCGTTAACAAAGACAAGCTTGACCACCTTCTCCACTTCACTGCGCATGAAGTGCTCTGGCGACTGCTGGCATATGCCACCCATACTCTGCAGGGCTTGCTCGCGAATCTTCGGCTCCCAAATCTGCATGGTGAAAGGTCGGACCGTGTCTAACAGGAATAGAGATGGGGGAGGTGGCTTCTTCTGGTTCAACATCGGCTCCAGGTGCTTCTTCAGAGATTCTTTTCCGTCGTGCTTGTTAAGGGACGCGCGGAGCTTGTTGTTGAACGATTCGATCTGTTGATCCAGGCTGCAAACTTGACCAAAAGCACCAATCAGAATTAGATAGGACATCATGGTATCAGCCTTCTGGGCTGCCTGCTCTTTGGTTAAGTCCAAAAGTGGCCTAAGGTTGCATATGACAGAGCAGATTGTAGCAAAAATCTTGTCAGTATCCATGCCCGGCATCTCGCTGATAGCCCACAAGCAGTGAATGACGTCAAGAAGAGTTTCTCTACTTGTAGGCCATCCCATCGATGCGCATTTAGCCAGCTTAGGCACGTTGCGCTGAAGACTTGCTCGAATCTCTTCTGCGAAAGCATGCTGAAGTGGGGGAAGTGTCGGCAACACATGCCGAAAGATAACGACCGTTGGCCGCACAAGGGCCACGTCATCCATGGTGGCGATGGTCTTGATGTATAGCTTCAGATGCCGCAGATGGTCGAGCGTGAACAGGGTCGGTTCGATCTTCGCGAAAACACTAAGGGTGTTCATAACACGAGCTTGAGACTTGATATCCGTACCGCTTCCGGGAGCAATGGCTTCGTCTACCAAGTCGACAACTAGCTGTGCGCAAATCTTCCGGTTAGAAGCCGGACCCTTCGCTTCAGGTGACAGACAATGAGCGAAAAACTTCTCGAAAGCTTCCAAATGTACAGCGCTATGCTCGATAGAGTCCAAAAGTTCTACCATGAAGGCTGCTCGTTGAGCACGGTTGAGCCTGTGTATACTGTCATCCGTCTTGACATTGTTATTAGCTGCCGTCAACCATATCTCCTCGAGGACGTTGCGACCCAGCTCGGAAATTGCACTCTCATTATCCTGCGAAGGGAGGAGTAGAGGAGCGGCAATCTTGAGCCTATTCTCATTTGAAGTGGAGCGGAGATAGATCTCTTTGAGTAGCTTGATGGCCTTCTTCTTGGGGCCGTTTGAGGGATCTGTAGTCATTTCCAGAATTTGTGGCAGCACATGGCGCTCGAGAGATGGTTCTTTGGCCAAGCAATTCGACAGGAGCGAAAGCGTCGCCTCTCGGACCATCGGTGAACTGTCTCTAAGCGATGGGATCATGTTGATGACATGTCCTTCGGAGATGACCCGAGGATCTTTGTCCAGCAGTTGTTGCAATCCTGCTGTTCCTCTCGTCCGAAGCTTCGAAGAGCTCTTGTCCCGGGCGTATGCCTGCATATAGTTGACGATCTGCGAAAGGTACCTGCACACCTGGCTTTGTAAAGTGATGACGCCCGCGGCGAGTTTGCTCTGATCATCTGACACAGATTGGAATTTGCTATCAAGCACCGTCAGCTGGGGAACGAGCCTGAACAAGTTGGAAAACTTACTACTTCTGACCGAGCCACTTTGGGTCTGCAATCATGCGTTCCAGACATTGCTGAACAGTTTGTATTGCTTGCGGCCTGTGATCTGTATTTCCTTCTGGAACTGTTGGAAAGGTCTTAATGACAGCTGCCAGCCACGAGCTGATATGACAGCCAGTCGCTGCCTGCAGATGCGGGTCTTCCTGGGAGGGGCGTAAATCGAGATAATCGACCAGTGATTCGAGAACCATGCGGTACGGGCCATCGAAAGCTAACAGATCCACATCGTTAACCCTCTCTTTGACGTCTTCGCTCATAGCGTCATTCACAAGACGATCTAGTCTTGACGACAAATCCGACTGCGAAATGTCCAGCCTTTGCTTCATCTTCTTGAGTTGGTCTCTGAAATCAATCACGCCACAACCGATCCTCGCCATTGTTGTGAGTGCCATGTCTTTGTCGACCACAGAGTGTTTATTTGCTGAGTCGTCCTTGAGTATGTTGACCATACGAACCAAGAGGCTCTGCAAAAGTATGACAGCAGCCGGCCACTGGGGAGAACCAAGGACATTACAAAAATCGTCGATGAATAAGTCCAGAAGGTTGCGGAATGGCTTATCGCCTGATTTGGAAGTATTCGAGGCTTTGTCGCACAGTTGGGTTACAATATACATTGCCGTGCTGGTAGCTTCCACCGTCAAATCTTGAGCAATCACTGCCGGCGTCCGGCCGGCGCCTCTCTTTGGGGCTTTCGAAGGTGCTTGGCCAGGCTCATAATCGCTGGTATCGTCTTCAATCATGCCGCCAGCTGCGTCTCCGCCTTGTGACGCAAGACGAGTGCTCGGATTCGTTGCGACTACTTGGACAAATCGCATGAAAAGTGCAGATATCGTCATAATCGGGACTTCACGAGCCGATAAGAATTGCCTCGCGCTCGCTTTCTTGTCGGGCAGCTTCTCCAGGTTGCCTAGAATACCATTTAGAATCGACTGTCGTTGGCTTGGGTATCGAGCGAAAATCTGGGCAAGAACATCCATGACTTTCTGGCGGAAATGCTCGAACTTCTTGATACTAAACACCGAATCCTTCTCGTTCTCGCTATTCTGCTCAACGAGCAGTTCCAACGTCAGATACTCCAAAGTATTGAGTGCCCGGTCCGGCAGGTTGTATTTGCCCATCAGCGTAGCAAAGCGGGTCAGGACTGCTCCACACAGTCGCAGCACCATCTGCAGATCTGGTCTATGAGCCGATGCTGCAGTGAAAAGGTCTTGAGCCTCCCCAGATCGCCGAGATTGAACGACAGGCACAATGCAGGCATGCTTAATTAGCTTCGTGAGATCAACAATGGAATCGATAATGTCCTCTCGTCGCATCCGATAGTCGTCACGACCCTCGATCATGGTTTCCAGCAGGAGCTTGGATGACTTGAGCGCGAGCTTGGCTGTTGTAATGCTCTCGGTAAGCTCCGGGGTAGTCTCATCCCGTGGAAAGAGCCCATTCTTAGTTGCACACACGACAGCGGGGTGTAGTAGTGATTGTATCTCCATGGCAAGGTCCACAGGAAGCGCATTGAAGCGGCCGAGACTGACAACACCGGACATCTTCTCTGAAAGAGCCTCCATTGAGCGGGGTTTGAGAACGTTGAACTCGCCGTCAGGAGTTGGGATTCTGGTGAAGTGCAGTGAGCCGTCAAGATCATCTTTGTCTTCGCTCAGACTGGCGACTAAAGAGTTGAGAATCTCAATCTTCCCGTCAGCGATCTCTCGTTCGTGGGGTCTCAAAACTGCAACGCCGCTCTCGGCTCTGTTGTCCTCCTTCCTTTGTGACAAGCTTCCGATCTCGATGTTGTCGATATACTTGTAGTCGGCGCGTGGAACCGCTTTTGGCTTTATCATAACGGCCGGACCAGGAGGCCGCACTGGTGTGCTGCTGGGAGCCGATGAGAGAGCGCTTGACGAGAAGGGTAAATCTATGTTTTGCGTGAAGGCATGGCCGTTGGAGGTGGCCTGGGGCGGTGTGGGCGCTGGGCGCGGCGGTTGTGGAGGTTGGGGTTTTCGGGAAAGTGCTGACTCTGATCGAGGCTGTTCGGGTGCTTTGACATTCGGTGCTGTCCTTGTTAGTGGTTGCACCGGGAAGGTGACAAAGAGGCCTACCCGTATATGCCACATCCGTCTGGTCGTAAAGCCTGCGCGCGAAGGGGCTCAGATCAGAGATAGCGCTGCGAGTATCTCCATTGGTGTTCTTGACGGGACTGTCCGGCGGAGGGGTTGGTAGTTGCGGCATGGGCTTGAAGTGACTGTGGGTGTTAGAAGAGACTTCCAGGCACGGCAAGAGCGTAGACCCACTACTCTGGCAGCCTATCGTGAAGTAGGAGGTTGCGAAGCTGGTTGAGGGTATCATGCAGATGCTGGGCGGTGGACTGGCCTTGGATCTCGGCGTTCAAGATTCCGACAGCCTTCTTCGCGGCTTTTTGTTGCTCGGGGTTTAGGGTAGAGGGTGGCGTGGGAGGCTCGGCAGTTGGGAAGGGTATGATTTCTGGTGGTTATTAGCCAGGTGAGAGAAAAGCGCTTGGGCAAAGGGCGCAAGTGAAGCAGAGTGACGCACCGGGCGAGAAGGGGATGATGGAGGTAAAGGGCGAATACGGAAGGGCCTCGTCCACTGTGGGCGGAGGCCTTCTGAACGGGAGCGCGCCTCCGTTGGCATGATGCCAGTCGCCATTCATTGCCGCTTGTGGTGTTGAGCACTTGCGGACAGGCGCAATCGAGGTGTGGTGGTAGACTTGGATTGGACGGGTTGGGCATGCGGCTATATCATCGTGCGTGCGCGCATGTTATGCTCCGGGAGCTGGCCAGTCGCTGCTTGGTGAACCGATGGTAGCAAACTTGTTGTAAAAGTGCCATGCGATGCACTGGGAGCATCGAATGCATGTGGTGGTGCACGGCATTCAGACGCGTTCTCACCGCCTGCCATTCCCGTCCTAGCTTGGCTGCAGCCGCGGAAGTCGCGATTCCCTGTAACTTTTTTCCTCAACTCCAACACCAATCACCCGCCCCAAGACGATAAATCGACAAATCACCCACCATGTCGGCTATTGGTAGTCTTGTCTTTTGCACCGACTGCGGAAACCTCCTCGACGGATCCGCCGGCAAGCAAAATGTCATCTTGACCTGCGCGGCATGCGGAGCGCAATGTAAAGGTATGCGCCGTCTATGTTGCGCATGCGGAAGAGTAGAAGATTTAATCGACCGCAGATACATCATCCAAGACCGTCGTCACAGTTTCCAAGCCCACCGCTTTCCCGTCGTCGCTGCGCGCAAAGAGATCCGAGGTCCAGACCATATCCGAGGAGGACGTTCAGACGAGCAGCGTTATCAATCATCCATGCGAGAAATGCGGAAGAGAGGAAGTGCGATACTACACACAACAACTGCGAAGCGCAGATGAAGGAAGTACTGTCTTCTACGAGTGCGACTGCGGTCACAAGTACGTTCAATCGTCCATGTCAAGAGCTGAGCTTATGCTAATTGCTATCTTACAGATGGAATACCAACAACTGAAGCGGAAATTCTACCTATGTGGCCATTTTGAATTCTAGATACCCCGAACGCCGTATGCATGCAATCCCTTGGGCTGCGCTAAGCTGCAACAGCTTGCGGCACGATCGCGTACTCCATCTCTCCGTTCTTCTCAAATTCTGCCATGTCAAGTGCTACGACCACACTGTCGCGCACCACCTGCTCTGGGTCGTTCAAAAATTTACGCAGAGTATCTTCGACACCCTCTTCATCGCCCAAGCTTCCAAGTGCCTCGGCTGCCTCATGTCGGACCATGCTTGCCTCCTTTGTGTTACTGAGCGCTTCTGTAAGACTAGGGATGGATGCGGGGTGTGACAGCTGCCCAAAGACAAAGGCGATTTCGTGGCGGAAGAGAGCAGATGGGTCTGTGAATCCGCGAGCGAGCGCCTGTACGGCCGGAACGGCAGTTGGGAGGTCGGGCGGCGAGGAAAGATCGCGGAGGGCGAACATGGCTCGGTAGCGCTGGAACAAGGGCAACGAGGTGTCGAGCAGTGTCTTTTCAAGTTCGGGGATCGATGCCTTCTCCGTACTCTGTGGTAGTGGTGGCGCAGGGTCGATGGACGTGAAGTCGCTGTCCAGTAGTCAGCAAGAAAGTATAATACCCAGGAATTGAAACAAGCATACCTTTTCTTCAATTTCTCCTGCCCCTTCTGCAGCCCATGGTCCCACTCTATGCGGTCCACAGCAATGTCGCAAGTCTCCCGTACGACATCGATCTCTTTGACGTCGTCCCTCAATGCCCTTAGCAGCTCAAGACTGCCCTTGTCGCTCAGCGCACCAAGTGCCTCGGCAGCCTCGTGCCTGCACATGGAGTCCTCCTCTTTATCCTCCAATACGCCCCTCAAGGGCGCGATGGCAGCATCGTGTCCCGACTGACCCAGGCAGTAGGCGAGTTCGTGCTTCAACAGAGCTGACGGCGATGCGAAAGCGGCGGCAATGGCCTCGATGGCGGGAACAGTCTGCGCACTGGGTGGCTGCAGGCCCGCAAGGTGCTTAAGAGAGAAAAGAGCGCGAAAGCGGCGGGCGAGGGGCTCCGACTCCGAGGTGAGGATGTTGCGAAGCGTAGGAACTTGGGTGTCCTGCTCTGTGACTGCCATTTTGCTGCTGTGGAAAAGAAAAGTAATCGCGAACGTAGTTCTTCACGTAAATGTCTTCCGAAAGCGGCTCGACTCTTTTTTGGCGGGGATGCAGAGATCTGGTGGGGTGTCAAAGTTCCATCTGATAAGATCTTCACCGCACCTGCATCCACACCAGTTGACGCTAGTCGAATACGGTTAGATGTAATGTGACAGCGTGGCAGACCAGTTGACCGAGTCCAGGGCTGCATGAGCCATGCAGGAACAAGCCGCTCCGTTCACCTTACTTTGACTAGCTATGACTCCTTTTTGCCCCGTCTTTACTCCCCGTGAGTGAAAGACTCAGCAGGTCAACAGCGCATCAAAGGGACAAAGACTATACCTGGGCCTGCCGCATGGGGAATCGAGCAGCCTCACCCTCACCTTCACTTCACCGCGACTTCGCATATCGACTGCAAACCCCCACCACGCTCCTTACACGTCACACCCACGACGACGTGACGGGGACGCTTCTTTTACTCGACCAGACTCGACTGCTTCCACTTACCACTTAGTATGGCGTTTCTTCGCGGAGTGTCCGACTGCTTCTGGAACTATGTCAGTCCGCGCAAGACACAACAGCGCCGCGAAAAGCCGTATGCCTTCAAGGTGCCTGCGCTGCCCACTCGATCCGCTGCTCTGTCCAAACACACCACACCACCGCCTACACGAGACATGAGTCCCGAAGCGCACGTCAAGACCCGGGGACTCAGCCCACCGAACACTCACTACGATATCGATGCGACGCTGCTACCGCCCTCCCCACCAGCTTCAGCTATGTCGTCCAAGGACATGGAGGGAGATACCTTGGTCGCGCATTCGCCCATCGCACTCGCGAGAGACCACGAAAACGATGGCTCTTCGGCCGACCTATGGGATGCGAACGAAGAGACCATGGTCGTTGATGACGGTACCTACATGGTTGTACAGAAGAAGGTCAACCATGATCAGGAGCGGTACAGACAAGATCAACAAGCCCGTGAGCTGCGTGACGCTGGTTGGTCTGAGGACGCGGTCTTTCTTTTTCAGAAGCTGGGCATGCGCGGATTTGAGCCACTGATGCCCATTAGCTGGATCAATGATCTCGAGACTGTCCCCGCAGACCTATTCACCGAGAACATCGACAAGGCCTTCGTCAAGCCAGCCTGCGGTACTGATTACAGTGGTATGTTACGATCTTGTAATTGCTAAGAGGATCTTGCTAACAGCGTCTAGCGCAGCATGCTCTCGAGAAACTGTTCGACCTGGGCGGTGTCGCTCGCGACGCCTGGCAGACGCGGACAAAGCGCGCTCCCCACTTCCAGATCGGCAAGTCTGTCAAGGCATACACAAAATGGGCTATGAAGGACGGTAGAGTCGAGCATCTCTGGTCCCAGCTCCCTCTATTCCAAACCGTCACCTTCTCGAGACATGTACACCCGGCCGTGGCAGAGCGCAAGATGATCGAGAAGCTTGGTCGGCTACACGAACTATGGTACGACGCTCTACAGATCGATGAGGCAGCAGCCCGCGGAGATGCTATTGTGCCTGAAGTCCCGACCCTCTATGGTATCACTGCAACGCACACCGTTGTGGCATTTGTGAGCTACGCGCCGCCGACCTTGAAGAACGAACAACCTTCACTACGTTTACTCGCCATGTACGACTTTATGCAGGAAGGCTGTGATGTCTGGAACTCACTTGCTATCTCCATCTTCATCATTCACGCGAGGAACAGAATGATGCAGTTGAGGGAGTGGCTTCCAGAGCCGGAGGTATCAACCGGCGAAGACCCTGATCTTTGAACGACGAACACGAAACGAAAAACACAACACACGAGAATGGATGAAAGAGATGACAAACTACGTAATGAACGAGATGGATATGGTTATGAACGATGGATACGATTTCAGTGCGAGGCCTTTTGCTTCTAGATATACCCGGTTATGAGCGCAATACCCCCAGTTTTCTTTTATTTCCTTTGTCAGACTGGCTGAACGACTGATGTCGGGCTCCACCAGAGAGTTGGAGACGACGAATACACGAGATTGCGTCACTTTGCACATGCCTCAACGCAAGCAAACTTGCGGTGGTTGATGTGACAGAACGAAGAAGATGAAATTGATCAGAACAATTATATAATCATAGAAAAAAACTGATATATCATACAATTGCATTTCTCTGCCTGATTGTGATCCCGACTTCTGGATATATCGCGACCCTGTTGACGCCGTAACTCCACATTTCGTGAGTTGGTACCTCGTTCGCCAGATATCTTCCAAACCTGTCACCCTCTCCCTGAAGCGGCTTTTGTGCCCTTGATCAGACCTCTTTCCTCGGGGTCCACACCCAACCTGCTTCTTGACAGATCCTCAGATCTTCGAGCTTCTTCTCCAAATTCAACATGCAGTCCCTGCAGTGTCCCGAGAAGATGGTTATGGAATTGGTGGGGTTTTGACACGGTAGTCGATACCTGCTTCCGGGGTCTGCGCCGCACATGGTGAACGGGTTATCGTAGACTTGTGTCTTGTGCTCGCATGCGGTGTGGTGGTAGAAGTTGCGTCTGCACATTGTTGTTAGATTGTGGTTTTGGTGAAGATGTAGGCTTGGAATTGGAGATTTGACTGGGAGATTGGGGACTGAGGAGGTTGTTGGTGTTGTTAGTGATAGCGAAAGGCTGATTGGTAGCAGAGGTTGAAGAATACACGCCGTTCAGTCACAGTGAATTTGAGTTTGCTACGTTCTTGTCGTTGTCGAGGTGAAGTGAGAACTTTTCCAGAACACCTCTGAGTACCCTGCGGGGAGTCATGGTGAAGCAAGTTTTTGTGCTTTCCATGATCGCAAGACCTTGTAGAAGCCTAGTTGAAGAGTGACAGGTCATGGTATTTTCGAAGGAGAGCAAAAAAACCAACTACTGGGGTGGACAATTCGTTACTGTGGTCTCCTTACAAAGCCCAGCTCACGTGATGTTTCACTCAATCCGAGCTCCATTGTACCAACCTGCACAGCGTGCCCCTTCATACTCGGCGGTTCAACCAAGCTTCCACGCATTCTCCTTTCACCCACCGGGACAAGACATCTTATACAGTACCAAGAGTCTGGGCAAGGAAGCCCGCTGTGCGGTGTCTAGACTGTAGAATCCGGGGTACAGACGGCTATGTGAACATTTACCGTACGTGATGGCGCACAATATGGCGGGTAAAACGTGATTGGAGCGTTAAGTTCCCCGGATCCCCAGGACTGGCTACTATTCTCCGGGATACGGGGAGATGTCGTGTTGTGATCACCTCGCATTACGCAAGGGGCGTTGCGCAACGTACATGTGAAGAGGGAATTGCGGCTGCGGCGATGCGGACGTGGTGATGCGTCCTTTACGGATATGACAGCCTCATGTGATGGTATGTAAGAACTCATTTAGACGTTCTTGGTAACAAGGGGAGTGGTTCGGCAAGCCTGCCGTATATATGAAGTCAGGAGATCGATCCATATTCGCAAGATCTCAAGGACCAGGGACAGTGATCTTGTGCAGCCGGGCTGAAGGGTCGAACAGCTCATTACGATCTCGTAACTATGATTGCGGATTCCTGCTGCCGACATGTTCGCTGATTATGCTGGTCCAGAACATGAGCGCAGTGACGGTGAGAAGGAGACAAGCGGTATGCGGCTCAAGCAAGATGCAGGCAAACGTCCCTTGGCGGCGCGCTTGGACGCCCCACGAAAATATCGCAGTCCTTCATCTGTTGCTGTAACATCGCCAACACCTCACGAACTATGCCTGAAGTACTGCATAGCCTGCTAAGCTTCTTGGATATCGAGCAATCACCATACAATGTGTAAGAGATGCGCCTTCTGCCGCCACTTCTAGCCTTGGAAGCGCCACACGTGTCACGCGGCTTCACATAGATTACCAACTTACAACTCCACTGTTCGGTGTTCACGCCAAGACGTTCTTTAACCGCAGGAAGATTGTAAAGGCGGAGAGCTTGGCATATGCATGCCATAGAGCTTGGGAGCACACGTGGATGGGTGCTCGCCAGGACAGTCGTAGCGCCGCCATGACCCGAAGCCCACTCCACCACGGAGATATTGACATGTAGGTTAATGACCGCCCGGTCTTGTCCCGTAACCGTTTGTTTCAAGTTACAGACCAATCACACCGGACGCTGCGCCGGCATTTCGCATGCCTTTCTTTCCAGAAGCCAAGCCCGGCATAGTGGTGTTTCTCCTATCGCAGCACTTGATCTACATCCTAGCTGCTAAGAGACGGACGGCCGTAGTGATGGCGAGAATGTTTGTCTTGGTTCCGCCAGCAGACCCGGGGCTACCCCATTGAACCACCAAGCCGCGGTGTGTAGTGGAGCAAGGCATATAAAGCCATCTTGAGTCGCCTCGTAGATCACCACCACGATCAAACATCTCTTCGCTTCCTACCACAAGCAACTCATATTCAAGATGGTCTCTTTCACCTCCCTCGTCACTGCTGCTATTGCGGCCACTGGCGTTTTCGCTGCTCCCGCCACTGATGTAGCCGCTCGTTCGCCTAGTGACCTTGTTGCCCGCCAGAGCACTCCCAACGCTGAGGGAACTCACAACGGCTGCTGTAAGTCGTACCATGAAGCAATATGTTGAGCATAGCTGATCATGTGTCTAGTCTACTCTTGGTGGACTGATGGTGGCTCCCGCGTCACCTACACCAACGGTGCTGGCGGAAGCTACAGCGTCAACTGGGGAAGCGGTGGCAACTTCGTCGGTGGAAAGGGATGGAACCCTGGATCCGCCCGGTATGTCATCCCAAGTAACTGCATGTTTGACGTGAGACCTTTGCTAACCATGCAACAGTACCATCACCTACTCGGGCACCTACAACCCCAACGGCAACTCCTACCTTGCCATCTACGGCTGGACTCGCAACCCGCTCGTTGAGTACTACGTCGTTGAGAACTTCGGGTGAGCAATGCCTCTGTACGGACTGCATGAGAGACATGCACTAACATCGCCCAGAACTTACGACCCATCTTCCCAAGCCTCGAACAAGGGTACTCTGACCGCTGACGGCTCTTCCTACAAGATCGCCCAGTCGACCCGTACCAACCAGCCATCCATCGATGGAACTAGGACCTTTCAGCAGTACTGGTCTGTTCGCCAGAACAAGCGTTCCAGCGGATCTGTCAACATGAAGACTCACTTTGACGCCTGGGCCAGCAAGGGCATGACCCTTGGTAGTCACTACTACCAGATCGTCGCCACTGAGGGTTACTTCTCCACCGGCTCCGCATCTATCACCGTCAACTGCCCGTAAGCTTTCCATCGTGGAAAGAATCAACTTCCTGAGGCGGTGACGCAGATGCTGTGATGGTGCAAGGGTGTGAGAACTCCAAGGGTCGTTCACTTCCCTGGCGACTTCTTTACTGTAAATATTATCTTACGCTGGTTTGCTAGCACGAAAATGTCAAACTTTTGCCATTTCACATACCAATTCACGTCGCTGTCAATCACTGGTGCCAACTCTTCACGCGCGCGACATACTAAAGCAATGCGCGAGACTGAAGTTGCTTTCTCATATACATTTCCTGAATATTAGACTTAACAATGTGCCTTCGCCACTACATACTACACTCATGCCAGCACAGGTTGCTCCGTTCTATACATCCTCTTACGCTATGTCCACGAGCCCAACATGGCCTCATACAGCGTCAATGCAACAACGTCGTGAACGACACCCCTATTCGAAGTAACCAACCGTGTCCACGCTGTCTGGAGAAAGAAAAGGAACGTAAAAATAGGGAATACAATGAAAGCAAGAAAACACGGGACCCTCGTTGGCCCGGGGGCCCGAAATGGTCTGGCTATGCAGGTTTAGGCGGAAGAGATAATTACCGCGACGATGTACCGCAGTAGAAATCAGGTGTAAGAGACCTGATCGCGGTGTAAGGTGAGGTCGATCGGAGCTCGTGGTGATTTGACTGCCCTGGAGGTGTCGAAGCGCCCGTCATATCCACCTGTGGACTTGTCTCGCTCAGTTCACCTTTACCTACTTACACACACCTACGACTGCTACTAGCTGCGCTAGCAGCTCCACACTCATTGTCGTACATATTTGTTTCTCCTCACTACTACTCAGCCTCGTCCTACGCACCCTTTTAGCCTTAACAGCCTTTACTGCAGGCAGTACACCCACACCTATCTACGCAAACGCCGTGATCAGTCGCCGTCTACCCGTACTTCTTACTACCGGAACATCTATCCAGGAAGACTTAAGCAATGAAAAACATCCGCCCTAACTATGATTTGCAAGAGCTCCACGAAGAGATCGCCAAAGACAATGAGTGGCGGACAAACTTCCGATACCTGCCCACAGCCACGAAGGCCAATTTAAAATTCCATGTAGCAAGCCGCAAGAAGGAGGACAAGCAAGAAAAGAGGCTGCTGATTGGCATTCAAAAGAATGCTAGTGGAGCCCGTGTTTACGCACGAGTACACAGGTCTTCTTCGAGCGGCCAGTCCAATCTGGTGAACCTCTACTTTGACGATGGCTATGTCGTCAAATTACATCAACAGCAAGAAGAGAATGATTTGAAGCTGCTTCGAGAAATCGAGTATCATGAACCTTTCAACTGCCTTGATAAGGTAGGCAGCGGCAATTGGCGCAAGTCACTTCGATTCCTGGTCTTGTACTATTTCCTCGAGCAGAATACTCCTGGTCTTGAACGACTTACATTGACAATCGATGGACTGGAATTGCTAAAGAAAGCATGTAAGATCATCGCCATCGAGGCAAGTATGGAGCAGAAGAAGCCAGCGCGCGCTCTTCTAGCTCTCCCAACGACTGCTTGCGACATCACCAAATCCGAGTCTGACAGATCCGGAATCGAATTCGACGAGGAGCTTGAGAAGGAGACGCTTGTTAAGCAGGAGCTCTTGGTATTCCTGCCACTCAAAGCACCTGAGAATGATTCTATACGGGCGCTTGATAACATGGTACATCGACACAACAACGTTTCCACGAAACCACTCCCGAAAACGAAGACCTATCGTCAGGAACCGAATGTGAAACATGAACCTGTACCAGAGATGTCCGAATATGCATCCAAGCCCAAGAGGAAGAGGCCTGCAAGCGATGAAGCCGCGGGAGAAGACGAAAAGGAAGACCCAGTACTATTGGTAAGTCGCGTTCGGGATAGCAGAATGCATCGAAACTGACTACCACCCCAGTGTGGCCGCTTGAAGCGCGTCGTACGACAGGAAATTGAGGGCCTAGAAGAGACAGAATCAGCGCTCCAAGACGCACTAAATGCGCAGGCCATGTCACTCAACGAAGCTCTGCAGTCGAGATCTGATCTCGAAAAGGCCTTGCTAGATGCCGAGGCAAGGGTACAGACCGAGCAGGCAACGAAAGCGGCTACGGAGACAAAGTTGAACAAGGTGGAGAGTGAGTTGAACGACAAGAGGAAACTTGAAAAACGCGTTGACTCTTTGTACACCTGAGGTACTCGAAGTAAGAGATAGCATGGCTTGCGAAGATGACCACCGATCGCCAACAGAAGTGTACACTCCACTAAGGGACCCTATCTCCACCAAGAAGAGTCCATATGAGTTCTGAATATGATAGCCAGGTGAAACGGATTTCTTGGATGTGAACGAATCTACATTACAAGTGCGCGGTGACATCAGTGTAGAGTGGCATCGTACCCGGAGTTGTTGCAAGCGCTTCCTCAATGATTGATAAGGCGAGATTGATTTGCTCCTCCGTGACTGTAATGGGTGGCGCTATCCGGAATACTCCACCAAACGATGCCATCGTGGCTAGCTGAGCCCACAAGCCCATCTCTGCGATCTTTGTTGATACTGCGGCCCCGACTTCCGGGGCACCAACCTTTGTCTTTCTGTCGCCCACAATCTCCATTCCAGCCATCAGACCGCGACCACGAACGTCGCCAATGCAACCGTAGCGTGACTGCAATTTGCTGAGTCCTGCTTGGAGCTTGACACCGAGCCTCTTGGAACGAGCGCAAAGCTCGTCTCTCATAACGATCTCGAGAACCTTGTCGCCCACAGCAGCTGGAAGGGGATCGTTGATATGGGTAGTATAGAACAAGAAGCCGTTATCTTTGGCATGCTGTGCGATGGGGTTCGAAGTTAAGACAGCACTGAGCGGTATGCCATTTCCAAGCGTCTTGCTGAGTGTCACGATATCCGGTACTACGCTTTCGTCCTCGGGGTGGTGTGTGAATGCGAACATATCGCCAGCTCTGCCAAGTGCTGTCTGTGCTTCATCAACAATGAGAAGCATGCCTCGAGCGGTACAGTGGTTCTTCAAGGCCTTCAGATATCCAGGGGGAAGCTCCAGCATACCGCCACTCGATAGGATCGGCTCAACGATAGCCGCTGCGAGTGAGCCGCAGGAGTGTTTGTCTACAAGATCGAAGCCGTAGTTCAATTCAGTCTTCCAATCATGCGTACCGTCAGCGTGTCTGAAGATCGACCGATAGGAGTTGGGTGTTGGCAGCGCTAGGTTCTAAATGTAGGCGCATGAGGTCAGTGTATGTCTCACATGCAGTTAACGCAGATACACATACCCCAATCATGTTGGGACCGTAGCCTGACCGTCCGGCGTGATACTGAGCACCGAGCGACCCGCCTGTCATGCCATGCCATGAGGCAGCCAGACCGACGATCTCCCATTTGCCAGTGTAGAATTTGGCCAGCCGAATCGCGGCTTCGTTCGCTTCGCCGCCCGTACTGAGAAAGAAAGCTTTGTCGAGTCCAACCGGTGCAACACCAGTTAGCCGTTTCGCAAGGTTGATGACTGGAGGACTGATCATCCCACTGAAGAGATGATCGAGATGTTGCGCATGATCCGCAATCACTTTCACAACCTCAGGATGGCCGTGTCCGATCAGAGTGCTCATCTGTCCAGAGGTAAACTAAATGAAACAATTAGCGTTATATACCTGGTACATTCCAGAGCTTGAAACCACTAACGTCCATCATTCGGTGACCCGATGCTGTCTGCACGTTGATGCCATCGGTAGAGGTGATTATCTCAGGATGGAATGCGGTCCCGTATGTGAGCAGAGTGTCGTCCGCATCGCGCTGCAATTGCGTAACGTCCGCGTCTGCGTATGGAAGAGGCATGATTGTGTCTGTCTCGCTGCAGCTGTACTGGTCGACGCGAAAGATGATGTTTGGCGTTGCCTGTGCTCTCCATCTTGCTGAATGTCTGGGGACTTGTTTTATAGATAGTCTTGTATGCAGTCCCAGGCGTCATCTCACGGAACGATACGCACGAAGACACATTGCTGCGTTTTCCGACGGAGACGCTGGAAGCATCAGAGCAGATACACGTGACCCTATCCCGTCGGAAAGAAGGTGCAGCCAGGGAGGTGCCAGGGGATGATAGCGATAAGGATTGAGCTAACTACGGTTGGCGCTTGAGCCACGATGACGACGCGAAACCCGAGAACGCGACCGCGCAACCTCGGGAGAAACTGCGATGTGCACTTCTACAGCTCAACAGCCGCGCACGCTGCATCGATACACTGAAACCCGAAACTCCATGATCTTCATACCACTTACATCTTCAGCCCGAGCTGTAATTACTCTCGACCCAGCCACCATCAATGGACCATGACGCTTTCGTAACGTGCGCGGCCTCATCGCCGAGCAGGAAAGCGACCGATCCTGCGATCTCCCATGTTTCTGGAAGCTCGCGGTTCAAGATACATGGAATGTTGTCTTTATTCAGATGGAATTCACCAGCGGCTGAGTTGAAAGGCCTAAGTATCGGAAGTCAGCGAATGTGTCACGATCAATTTGTACAGAACAAAACTCACTTCGTCATCATCTCTGTGTTGAAGCACCCGCTGTCTACAGTTAGCTCGGGTCCTCTCTAGCTATCCAAGTCACTTACGGGCACAGCGCGTTGACCCTGATTCGTCTCGACGCTCCTTCAAAAGCTGCAACTTTCGTAAGACCAATGAGCGCGTGCTTGGCGGCGACGTATGCTTCAAAGGTGGAAATGCAAAGTTAGCGTATGTTTCGTATGCATTTGGGAAACCTCAGTATTTACCTGACGTGCCAGGCGTTCCGTAGTGGCTCGCGATGCTTCCAACATTGACGATTGAGCCACCGTCCTTGATAACCTTCATTTCTTCTTTCAAACAGTGGAAAGTACCAACAACGTTCACGTTGAGCAGCCTAGCGAAATATTCTGGGTCGAGATCGGTTATAGGGAAGATCTCGCGTTGCTCCACAGCTAGACGACTCGATCAGAAATACGTCCAGCATCCCGAAGGCCAATTGAGCTCACCAGCGACGTTTGCGGCACCGTCGAGCTTTCCAAATTTAGCTACGGTCTCCTCGATCCAAGACCGAACACTGTCTAGGTTGGCGATATCTACAACGCACGTCCAGTACCGGTCCTTGGCGTCTGGAAGCTCAGCGTCGATCTCTTTGGTGGCTTTTGACAGATTGTCAACCGACGTTGCCTGAAGTTTGGTGTACGAAGTCAGCATACGTTTCACACATGTTAAATATAGGAACATCACTTACACACATAGATACTGTGGCACCTCGTATCAGCAAGTACTTGCTAACAGCAAGGCCCAGTCCGCGGCTGGCGCCAGTAACAGCGATAACCCTCCCCAAGAAAGGGAGGGTATTGACAGCATATGGGAGAGTCTTAGCGGTGCCGTTCATATCGATAAGTCAGGATATGAGAGATATCAGGTAACATCAGTGCGACAGCGATGTGCCGCTCATATATCTCACGGTTCAACAGCCATATGCAAACCCTCGTTCAAGGCTGCGAGCCACGAGTCGCTAGCACAACCGCGCCGCATGTTCATATGCCGAGCTCCTAACTAGGTTCCCACATGGGATACTACGACCCATTTAAAGTCTTAGCACTAGAGATCCTTTGGTGGAGCGCGGAGTTGTGTGCCGCTCGTGGCTGCTCATTTGGGACATCCCCGGAACTAGCGCGATCCATCTCCCATCGCCGCTGGGCGCCAGCTCCACAGACAATCAATCGCACGATCATATCGTCTAAACCAGTGTTCTTCAAGGTTCATTCGTTTGGTACTCGTCTGCTCCTCTCACATGCAATCATGCAATTGTCGACGGTAGAACAATGTGTAGTCAGATTTCTTTCATCCATACCCGAGGGCAGATGACGCAGACATTCTGATAGAACGAGCGATGCCGGATATGAGTGAAGATGGTCTAACCAGGCTCATGGATGCGAGTTCGCCCTGCAGATACCTACCGGAATCGAACCATCCGAAATGCGGTTACCAGTACCTAGATTTGTTGACAGTCGTAACCAGTCCAGCGGTGCCATGCGATAATGAGGCGCAGGTAGGATTTGTGATTGGCTTGATCAGTTCGGAGGTTATAAGCATGCGCCTCTCGCCTCGACTGTCACCCTGCGTATCTCAACCCGCGCTCGCTTTCTAGATTGGCGAGGATGAGTGCGACGTCAGTCTACATGGCGGTACCACCACCTGGTCAAACCAGACATACAGTCAACCCTCCGAACCTTCATAGAGAACTCGCCGCCGTTGGAGTATCTACAACGATGATTGCTCTGGTAGCCGTGATCCTACAGCTCTTTACACGAGCGTATGTCACCAAATTGGGTATCCGTCTCAACGATTGTGGGTCTCCCCAATGGTCTACGAATCTTGAAAAAAGTGATCGTGCTAACTCTCGGTGTTCAGACATAGTAGTGTGTGCAATGGTTTGCAGCCTTGCGCTGCTGGGGTGCAATTTTCCGCGTATATTCAATCGCCGTCACTCTCCTTTGCAAGGCTAATTGTGACGCAGATATGAAGTCCGGCTTAGGTTACCATATGTGGGAAGTCAAAACAGACGAGTACATGGTTCCTTTCCAAAAGGCAGGTACACTCGTTGCAACATTCCAGCTGCGACACTGACGAAACACGCAGTGGACACTGGTCGGCACGACCCTATACGCTACCAGCATCGCATTCTCAAAACTTTCGATACTGCTGTTCTATCTACGCCTTTCGCCACAAGTATGGTTCCGCACACTAGTTTGGATCCTCGTGGCGGTGGTTGTAATCTACGCCACGGTCTACGATCTCGTCAGTATCTTCGGCTGCAGACCGATAGCTGCGACATGGGATCTTAGACTTGTACCCGGGGCTACATGTCTTGATCAGCTGACCAAGTACATGGCGCTCTCCGTCCTGAACATTATAATTGATGTCTTGACATTGATACTTCCGATACCCATTGTAGCACGACTACAGATGCCGCGGAGACAAAAGATCACTGTATGCGCTATTTTCGCGACCGGTGGATTGTAAGTCATCTCAGTTGTCGAACAAGATCGGACTGACCTTACTCGTAGCGTCTGTGCCGTCGCAATTCGTCGAACGACCCTGTTGAATCCTCTCATGGTCTCTGCCGATTACACGTGGGAGGCGGTCGAACAATTTCAGTGGTGTTTCGCCGAAGTCAATGCTGGCATAGTTTGCGCATGCGCTCCCGCTCTGAGGCCGTTCTTCGCGCGCTACCTCCCTAGCCTCTTGAGTTCCCGCTTCCGCAGCAACAGCCGGGATGACGCTGGCTGTAAGAGCAACGAATTAGCACCACCGGATTCACATAGCCGACACCACGTCAAGGAGGCATTTGAACTGCGACTGCGAGATGATGTATCTGAGATGACAGCAACGACTAAACACAGTGGTGTTGATGATGAGGCACGGCTCTGGCAAGATGCTACAAATCCAGGCGGGAAAACCGTCACTACCTGTTCTGTTGCACACGCCTATTGATAGAATGTTTGGTTCACAGCCATCTTCATACTTGGTAGCGACTGGCTACAAGGCCTGAAATAATGTGTAAACTGTCAAGCAGGCATGAAGGTGATCATTCGCTTGGTACCTCCACATTTACTTGATGAGGTTCCCTCTTTCGTCGTCATCAGTCTCTTCTTCACTGTCTGTTTCGTATTCGCTCTCCTCCTCAGTATCTTCCTCTTCGTCCGTTTCCTCTTCACTGCTGCTCTCCTCTTCTTCCTCGGCCAGCCAGTCGTCGAGCGTCTTCTCTTTCTGCGGTACTTTACTTGCACCACCCATACTAGAATCTCCACCCATACCGTTCAGACTTCGTGGGCTCAACATGCTGTCTGGCGTCATCCTGCTACTACCACCTGCTGCAGCGTCTAATCTTTCCGCCGCTGACATGTTCTTCGCGGTCTCGTATGCCGATACGTATGTCGAAGAAGAGTTTGAGACGACCTCGTCGCGTAGAGCTGGATCCGGTTCGTCACCTTCTTTGACCCAACGGGGCAGGTCTTCATAGCCTCGTAAACCACCTACACCGCCTTCGTCGCCGATGACAAGACTGGCGCTGCCGAGCACGTAGCCCTTTCTTGTTTCACTCGGGCTGGGTGTGTGTGGCACTGGTTTCGGCGCAAGAAGTAAGAGTGACGCGAGTTGTGTCGATGTTGGTGTCGCCAGAAGCGCTTTGTAGACGCGAGCGCGGTCGCGGAGATCGTACGAGGTGTCGTACCTCACGAGCAGGAGCACGTAGTTGTATAGGGCTTCAACAATGTGCGGCTTCTCCTCTTCAGGCTCCGCATTCTGTGGGGCGGACTCAAGATGCTCGTCCCTAAAGCCGCCTTGATCTTCCTGGAAATCATCCATGAGGGACGGACTCGGTTTGGGCTCTTCCACTTTCGGCTCTGGAGGCGGGTTTGCAGTTACGTGATGCACATAGACCTTCGCTGCCAACAGTACAATTTGGAGCTTTGCCGGCTCAGCTTCATCCGCGAAGCCTTTGACGAGGATACGTAAGACATCAGCGGCGATGTTGTTTTCTGGATCGATCCCTGCAAACTCTCCGACCAGCCATATAATACTTGCTCGTGCCTGGGGGCTCGTTGCTGCATCAAGATGTTTCGCTAACCGGACCACAGTTGTTCGGTGAGCGTTCGGGTCTCGTTGGATCAGATGTCGGATGACTTCCAGCGATTCGGCTACCAGATGAGTATCGGCCGATCCTATGTGCTTTAGCAACAGCTTCAGACATCTTGCGGAGGTCTGTGGGCTTGTTGCAGGGCTCTGCGAGCAGCGGCCGATTGCGCGCACTGATTCTTTGACCAATGCTGGATCCAAGCTCCCAGAATGGGAGAAATGGCTCAACTCGGCCAAGATCAGGCTCTGTAGTCTTAGAGGTGCATGAGGGAATATCAGAGTAAGCAGTTCCAGTTTGAGCTGCCAGATATGTGGCGCGTCGGTTGATCGCACCAAGAAATGTGTGTAGAACTTGACGAATGGCTCCGGGTGTGTCAGGCAGACTTGCACGATGTTGTACAGTGCGATGTGCTGAATGTCTCCCGCAGATCTCAAGAGGGATATCAGCGGGCCAATGGCCTGAGTCAGATACTCTGGGGTACCGAGATACAAGTACGTCCTTGCCACCGCTATCACCACAGCCGCGTTCCGAGAATGCAAAAGTGACTGACAGCCTTTCAGCAGCAGTTCGAGGTCGGGATCCAGCACAGCAATCTCTTCCATATCCTGTTCTTGTTCCTTTTCCTCTTCTTCTGAATCGCTTTCTGAATCGTAGAAGCCTTTCGTCGACTGCGCAGGCTTGCTATTTGTCGTGACCCCAGCTGCCTTCTTGACCTTCCTCGTCCGGCGCGGAAAGCACTTCCTTGCATATATCATCATCAGGCGCAGTGTAGCCAACTGCCCCCACTCGTCCATGTCAACAAGTTTTCGAACCAATGAGCGGTAGTGCGGGTGTATGAGATCCAGACGGTCCGGACATAGCTCCAAGAAAGATGATACAGCTGCTCCTGTCACGAAGTACTGCTTGTCGCCCAGTAGTGTCGAAAGGTATTCCAGTAGCTGCGGCTCGGTGTTCGGATCCAGCCTGTAGCACTTCGGTATTGCCAGAGCTGCTGCCCTCCTGACATATGCTGACATGTCTCCAGAACCGCGCTTTATGCCCAAGCTCACAATCTGGCTAATGACAGGCACCCTTATGCTCGACATGACGCGTAAGGCGAGGGCGCGAAGCTGAGGGTTCGTGTCCGTCAGCGACTTCTGTATCGTATTGATGGAGAGGAGCGCGGTGTCTGGTTCGTGTTCGGCATGTTGGAGGAGGTAGATGTAGACGAGCTTCTTGACCTGGAGCGAGGGGGATGCGACGTTCTTGATCACGTGGGAGAAGAAGGGCAGCGTTTGCGAAGGAGGCTGTCGGTAGGACATCTAGATGCGCTGTAGTCAGTTACTACACGTCCCACAGCGTCCAATGGGCTGGTCTCGAGACCGTGGCGGGGCTTCCTACAGTGACGACTCTGCGCAGTCCTTCGAGCACATCGCGCTCTGATCTGCTGTCAAGGAGCTTCTTGAGCTGGCCCGAGGGCAACTCTTTTGTCGGCGCTCGGCGGACATTGCTGGCATCGCGGGCGGCTTCGAGGGTGAGGTCGCGAGCTGCAGAGAGAGACCAGTGAGCGAAGTTCGAGGGATGCATGACGGCGGCACCAAGCAATTACATGGTCAAAAGGCCTGCAGCCCAGATCGGGGAGCAGGAACGGGCAGCATATCTGTATGAAAAATGTGAAAGGCGCCATACCTGTCTCCAGCAAGCTCGATATGCGACTGATGGACTCCATGACCGCGACGTGCGCCTGGGACAGCGCTTCGGTCCGGAGCGTGCGCGCTTCGTCTCTGCGCACAAACGGGAGGCCGACTATGCAGAGTCGGGCAAGGCAGGGAGCAGGTTCTGGGCCTGGTGATCGTGATTGAAAGTCGCGGCGTGCATGCCCTGGGTGTTCTGATGGATGGCCAACCGACGTAGTGGGGTGGCCCGGGGCGCGGGTATTGCCGCCGATTGGCACCTCCACGCCTGTCACGTCCAGCCCAAGCTGTGCTCCCCGAATAAGTATACCGATGACAACCTGCACCGACACATGACAGCCGACAAACTTTCCACAAGCAGCCGTTCTGTCATGTCGCCAACGCCCGCGCCAACAGTGCTCTACCCGCTAACCCTCCCGGCCTTGCTTCGCTACCTTCTCACCACACAGTCAGAGACACGTCCAACACTACTGATCATTTGCTCGAGTCGGGATAGCTTCCTCCAAGATCTTGCAACATCACTGCACAATCACGGTGAACAGGGCGCGGATGGTCTGGAGCAGTTGGTTGCGCCAACCCTTCAAAACTTACTCACGACACGGCATGTCAAGCTCACATTCTGTGCGTCTGTGCAGGCCTTGTTAGCCTACTTGACCGCATATGGTCGGGCTGGAACCAGTGTCGCTGCCGATGCCGAGGAAGAGGAAAGAGTCGTCTTGGTGAATCCAATCGCTTTGCATGCCTCAACATCTTCCTTCTCAGCCCAAGGCCTGTCCAGATGCTTCTCGGCGGCGGCAGAAGTCGCGCTTAAGCCAGGTGTAACGCTCCATATCGCTGAGTGCGAGGGTAGGCGCGAGCGTCAGGAGGAGCCCGATAGTGACGACACAGACATGGAGAATGATGCCCAAGAGCCCTCCGCGGAAGCATGCATGACAGATCCATGGGAACAGGACATCTCCATCCTGAGTATCTCGGCTCGGAAGATCGGATCTGGAAGCGGCGACCGAGCGTGGGCAGGTCGTACGGTCAAGGCGAAGACGATAGCTGCCAGGTGGTTTCGCTTCTACAATATCGAGGAGCAACAGACATACGCAGACCAAGGATGAAAGACAACACATTGCAGTGACCAATTGTGAAACGTTTCTGCTGTTCAATTCGCCTTTGCGCCATCCAGCCGGACTTGTTGGGTCCATCTAGATGGTCGGCCGTCGCTTCGTTACTTCGTGGGAGCTTAAGCTGCCCTGGATATCCATCGCTTCCAATCGAAAGAAAATGACACCTTCCGCTACATCGCTGCATGAATGACCCCCTCAGCCAAACGCGTGCGATCGCAAACTACCAGTCCTTCTTGATGTCGAATGACCACTTGAATTGAAGATGGGTGTGGTTGTCATCGTCAACGAACTTGGAGACGGCAGTGTAGTGGCCACGGCCGAGCATACCGGAGGGGGCAGTTTCAGGTTCGACTAGAATAGGCATTAGTGAGTTGTGGGAGACAACATGGGCGTGTACATACACTTCTTCTCGTAGTATGGCTTCTCCTCAGTGCTGGGACCGTATGAGCCCTGTCATGGCTGTTAGTGCTTGCTCATATGCGCCTCTATGGCGGATATGCTCACCATCATCTCCTGGAGCTTCTCGCTGACACCCATGCGTGAGACCTTCTGGAGGTACTTCAGACCAGACAGGATATCGTGTTGCACCTTGAACTGTGCCTTCATGCGGAACCGGGCACCTTCCTTGATGGAGAAGGGCTTTTTCTCAAGAGCCTCGACGGCACCGGGTGCGCGCAGGTCGATGACGATATCATCGCGGCCTTCGACTTCGAGAGCGAGAGAGAGGATGATGCATCGGCGAGGATCGTTGGGGTCGGAGATGTCCTTGCCTTGTCCAAGACCAAGGGACGCTTTCCACTTCTGGAGCGACTCGTCGTTCTGGTCTGTCGCCGCGCGTGTTAGCCATGTGTGCAGGTAACTAGCTCCCCGGAGAAGTTGTGGAACCTACCCAGCTGCTGGTACTCGTCAATCGTCTTCTTCTCGCCAACCTTGAAGCCCTCGGTCGCCTCGGCGTGGAGGTCGTCTGCGTGGTCGGCCATGGCTGTATCGGTGCGTACTGTGGAGGTGAGGGTGGGTGTTTAGGGCAAGGCAACAAAAGAAATGTTGTGGAGAAGTCAAAGGGTCAATTGTAGGAATGAGGGGCGCGGCCTCGTGTTGAGCCTCGCGGTTAGCGGGGCACATTCACCGCTCCAGTACGTCGGCGCGTCTGATTGGCTGCGTTCCTGGTGCTTGCGGGACCCTTCAGATATGCCGCAGCTGTCCAGACTCTTGCTGCAACACGACCATGTCCGCCATGGTCCTGTCCTCAGGCAGAGAAGATTCTTGACGTACGAACTGTCTCATGGTCGAGCATGGACCAGACCCCTCTCTTGTTCTTTTTGGAACAGGCCACCGGTATCTGCAGGGTCGTGTCGCGAGCTTCTACCAGACTGACAACTTGTCGGTAAGCTCTCGAGCTTGAGCTTGAGCTTCGTGACGTGGTTAGCGCCATCGCTGGTAGCGTATGCATCCCGTCCCGGAGATATAATTCTAAAGGAATGGTACCAGGTGATGCCCGGGCAAAGAACCGATTTGGAACAAAAATCGTCTTTGTCGCTGGTTTGCGATTTGAGCATACCGTCACTTTGAGCGCCTCAATTAGTTGTGAACATGTATTGCCGCGCGCGACCAATGATCACGAGTGCGATTAGCCATCCTAGCCGCCGACATTCTCTCTAAACCGCATCAATTGAGGCTGCATAGACCGAGTGGGAGCATTGGTCGCCGTGTTTGGCGGTGGAAGGGAGATGCCCAGTGCTGTCCAGAGCAACGCGTCACGAGAGAAGAGCGGAAACGCGTGACTTTGAGCGCTTTCCCCATTGAGCCCGTGGAAAGACAGGCGACGCTTCTTCGGGCCTGCTATGCCATGACAATATCGGCACGGCCAATCGGTAAGCACTACTAGCATTGCAAATACACTAGAAAGGGTTGCCGCGAAACTTTTGCGTTCGCGCAGACCTGTCCGGGGTGGCTGGGGGTCTTCGTTCTGGGAGCGCTAGTGCACAGGGATAGCACCCATCGCTCCTTCCTGTCCGCCTCCGTCGCATCGCACCACCTTTCATCACGTCGATCGCGCGCTTTCACCACGCCCTCGCCCACGTCGCCATCCCGTCTCGATTCGACACCCAGCTGTCTTCACTCGTCGCGCGACTCGGTCCGGCAGTACATTGTTACTGACGATTGCGCGCGTCATACGTGGACGGAACCGTCAAATCTTCACGCAACCACCTTTGCGCTGCGCGCTCCGTTCATCGCCAACACGCGTTATATTACTACGCGCACATCAGGCCAAACTTCAAGACCTACCGGCAACACCTCCAAAATGGTCTCCCACCGCAACCTGCCCGAGAGGAAGAATCCTCTTCTCGAGCCCACCGAATCCACAGCCAGTACGTATACGTTGCGCATCGCGTCATTGCGACCAGTCATCTAATCATTGCGCGCAGTTGAGATTCTCATCGAGAGGCGCCGACTAGGACAGACAAACCTCGGCGTAAAGCCCGGCGTCAGCGGTCTTACCAATGCGACCAAGCCGGAGAACATGGGCACGTTTGATTACGCGCATCTGAGGGTTCCGCTGCCCAAGGACTTGACAGGATCCGGCATCTTCACATTGAACAAGACCTCGGCTTTCCCCGAATCTTACTTTCTGATGGTACGCGTTATGAAAAAAGAAGCCGCAAGATTTCGCTCAGGATGCGACTAACACGACAAACAGCGACGCAGCAGCGATGGCTACATTAGTGCGACAGGCATGTTCAAGGCTGCATTCCCTTGGGCTTCGGTCGTAGAGGAGGATATGGAGCGCAAGTACCAAAAGACGTTCCCCTCTGCAGGCGCCGAAGAGGTTGCTGGAAGCGTATGGATTGCGCCTGAAGAGGGTGAGTAACTTACCTTCACCTGTTCTCGAAAGCTCGCGCTAACTAAGGGTCCCTCTAGCTCTCGCGCTGTCTGATGAATATTCTATGCGCCATTGGATTGAGGCACTTCTAGACCCCGCGCCGATCGAAAAGGGCAACAAGGACAAATCAAACACGCATATCCAGATGCCACCAAAGTTTGACGTCGCAAACGCCACACCCGTCACTCTCCCCGCACCCGGTCTTCGCACAACTCGCGCCCGCTCGGCTCGATCTGTATCACCTAGCCGAGGCGCAACTCCCAGCAGCCGAAAGTTTGCGACTCCACGAAAGTCGCGAGCCACAAGAAGCGCCATGAAGCCTGACCTTACCAAGGCTGACGAGGCCGTTACCCCATCGAGCGCTCTGCAAGCAATCATTGCGAACGGTACCACACCTTCTGAGTCAGTCGCATCATCTGTCGATGGCGATGTGAAGGAGAAGGAGGCAGTATCTGAGCCCAAGACCGAGCCAGACGTCAAGGAGGGCACAGTTCATATCGAAGTCGAGCAGACCGTGGAGACAAACGGCGACACTGAGAAGACCAGCACCAACGTCACCGTCGATGTCCCTCACAGCCATGCTGCGCTTCCCGAGCCAGAAGATCCTACCGCCATGATCGAGGAGGCCAAGCGCATGGTCGCAGAAGCACAACGGCTAGAAGGCGACTCGTCGGCCAATGTCACCAAGTCGACAAAGCGTGGCATTGAGGACGTTTTGGAGGCGGAAGATCTCGCCGCCGAGCGTATGAGCAAACTTGCAAAGGTTGCTTACACCACCGAGCAGAAGTTGACCAAGGAGAAGGTCACACGGAGAGCACTTGTCGGCATGGGTGTCATGGCAATCATAGGGTATGTCTCCACTCAACACATTCAAATCTGAGCACAACTAACGATACCTAGCACCGCCTTCCAATACCTTGCATAAGCCCACCACCATTTCCTTGAACCCTACGGTCTCGCGCATGTTTTGGGTATTTGGAGGCTCGCCCCCCGCGCTTGAGTTCCAACGTGCTTTACTTCATTTCGATTTGTTCGCAGATACCACCACCACCCAAATTTTCTCTCATCTTTTTTTACAGGCGTACGGGGAGGAGGCTTGTACGCTATTGCACGAAAGGACAAACGGTGGCTGGCTCCCTTTTGGAAAGAAAAAGGAACTTTTCAGGGACTTGTTCTCAGTGGCGGGAGCGGCAACACATTCGTTCTTGTGTGAATGCGGAGACTGGGTTGTCCGGGTGGTCAACAGTAGAGTATTTTAATCTGATATCCCCCCCTATTTTCACTGTTGCCAATGTAAATATATCTGTGTGTCTATGAAGCTAGTCCTCACTTTGATCCGGTCGCATTAGCCAGTTCTCCCACTTTCTTGACCGCCTCTTCAAAGTCGTCGAATGCATGGATGGGCAGTTTAGCTTCTTCCAGTACCTTTTGCCCTTTCTCCTCATTCGTTCCTCTTAGTCTGACAACCACTGGTTTCTCCACACCAATCTCCTTGAACGCCATGATGATACCCTCGGCGATCATGTCGCACAGCGTCAGTCCTCCAAAGATATTCACAAACACTACAGACACCCGGGGGTCGGACAGGATGAGTTTGAAGGACGTCTTGATCGTAGCGGACGTCGCCTTTCCACCCGTGTCGAGGAAGTTAGCGGCCGAAGTAGAATAAGGCGGCTGTGAAAGCCGCAGAGACAGCGTATCAATAGTATTGAGTGCCAGTCCAGCGCCATTCACCAAAGTTCCGATCAAATTCCGCGGTCCCTCTTCTGCTGTAGAAGACGGCGGCGTCTGTGTCCCCGCCTGACTAGTCCCCGGCGGAAATTCAGGAGACCCCAGCGGTATGTACACGATACCGGCTTCTTCAGCTTCTCTGTCTGTTGCTGAGACAGACTCTTGGTCACGGAGAGCATGAAGATCGGCCTGTCTCTTGCCGGATTTGAAGGCCGCGTCGTCGAAGAACAAGTACGGTTCGTAAATGAGTATCTCGTCGCTTTCGACGGATAAAGCGACTTTGACATGGGCGTCGATTGCTTCTTTCTCCTTGTACAATGCCCACAGGTTGTTGATCAACTCGACAGTTTGGGCTTTGGCCATTGGTGGGGCGGCGTCCAGTTGCATGTGTGCGATTGCGGCTTGGATGACTTCTTTACTGGGACCTGAACGGTAGTCGAAGGGGAAACGGCGGATGCGTTGGTTCAGTTTGGAAGGGTTTGCTGTGGGCGATGCTATGATTGAGGGACTGCGTGCTGAGCGGTGTGGGGAGATGCCTACATAATGTGTCGAAGGCGAGCCCTCTGGTGGTGTTGTCAGGTCGATCTTGTATGTCGCGAGAAGATTCGTAGACTGGTCCTTGGTAAGGTGAAGAGAACGTCTTTGCTGGAGTGGGATCGATGGTGTAGTGGAAATGACAGGCCGCCGTGAGAAGCTCGAAGTGTGGTACGAACGACGCTGTTGAGCTGCTGATTGCTCCTGGTCGATGTTAGTGTCCATTTCTTAGGTCTCCTGTCACTTTCAACCTACAATTTTCCTCACATTGCGACCGGACTTGGCAAGAATGTCTTTCATCACACCGCCAAATTTGGCAGGGTGATCTACCATAGTCACACCGGCATCCTCCAGCGCTTTGTACTTTGAAGCTGCAGTACCCTCTCCTAGACCAACCCACGCTCCTGCATGTCCCATAACCTTACCAGGTGGAGCTTCAAAGCCTCCAATGACAGCAGCGATGGGTTTCGGGTTCTTAACACGCTTTCTGTAATCTTTGATCCAGTCTGCTGCCTCCTCTTCTGTTGTACCGCCTAGCTCACCAACAATGATGATAGCCTCTGTATCTTCATCACTCTCGAAAACTTTCAACGCGTCAACGAAATTGGTCCCAGCCACCACGTCGCCCCCTACTGCGATACAAAGACTTTGTCCAACACCAGCTCTTGTCAGAGATCCGACGGTTTCGTATGAGAGAGTTCCGGATTTTGCCACAATGCCGATGTGTCCGGGAGAGAACGTGGGAAGTGGTTGGAATCCAATCCTGCATCTTCCAATCGCGGAGATTATTCCTGGAGCGTTGGCACCTACGAGCCGCGACTTGGACTGCGACTG